GGTTAAAGAAACTCAAGACTGTAAAATCTTAAAACTGCTAGCAGAAAGAATGCTTCTGAAAAGAGCAACAGAAAATTAACTTACCTATCTGAGAACCCAATCTTAATTTCATTAACCCTCTTTACTGAAAACAGCCCCTTGGCACAGTGCTGCTGCAAAATATGGTCTGCCTCTCCTCACATATGCTCTGGGCTATGGAAACATTAATTTTTTTCTGCTTTAAAGCAGTTTGTAAGTTATCACAGCATAAAATTTTTTTAAAATTACAACAGTAGTCAAACTAAGTGTACACACTCTTTCCCACAGACCTGATTTACCTCAAAGAGGTTTCTTCATCTAAATTTCACTTGGTTTTCCAGTTTACAGAAGACAATTTCACTTGCCTTGCATATAACTACATAGTACTCAGCACAGAAATAAATCAATGTTTGAGGAGGAAATGGATTCTAGTTATTAGTTTTCCATTAAAAAATACTTGTGTCTCTGCTCAACTGAGTGGTCCAAATTACAAAGAGTACCACTAAAAAAGAAATTGATTTAAATGAGCACAGAATAGTTAATATGCCTGGGGAATTGACTACTTAGGACAGGGGATGGCAAAATATGGCCTTTGAACTAAGAATCATTTTTACATTTTTGAAAGGACTGTCAAAACAAGTGAACGAGCAAGTCAGCCAGCAAAGAATGTGACAGAGACTCTGTGTGGCCCACAGTGCCTAAGATATTGATGATCTTGTACTTTATGGAAGAAAAAAGCTGAATTGGATCAATGGGGAATCATTATAAATTTTCAGCAGAAAATCACCTAACAACAAAATTCTTCCCTTAGGAAGATTAGTTCAGAAAACAAACAGAAACCAAAACAAATGGAGAGAATTTTAATAAGTGACGTGGAAGAAGTTGCATTATTTCAACAACTATTTACTGAAAATAAAAATGTGCCAAAACTCCATACTAGACTCCAGGAATAAAATGATAAATTAAAAGGGAAGGATTAACGTTTTGTTGGGATTAAAGACATAAATTATGTGCTGAGCCCTAACAATGGTACAAAAAAAACAACCAGTAAGAAACAAAAGGAACCTGGCGGGGTAGCTCAGCTGGTTAGAGCATCGCAGGGACACACCAAGGTTTTGGATTCCATCCCAGTCAGGATACACATGAGAATCAACCAGTGAGTGCATAAATAAGTGGAACAACAAATCGATGTTGCTCTTTCTCTCTCTACAAAAAAGAAGCAACTAAACACCGGAGAGGCTCTCATTCAAGCGTATGTGCCTTCCCAGTTTTCTACATATGAGTGATTGCTGGGACCATAAAAGTATGGTGCTGGCCTTGGCTGCCGAGCTCAGTGTGTTAAGAGCAAGGTCCAGATAGGACAAGGCTGAAGGGTCAGTCTCCGGTGAGGGCACATACAAGAATCAACCAACGATGCATCATCAGTAAGGAACAACAAACCCATGTTCCCCCCTCTCTAAAAATCGATAAAATTAAAAAACAAATGTTATGCTGAAAAGCTTCCATCCCTTAGAATGGAGTTCCACTTTCTCCTTTTTAAAGTGGAACCCGGCAGCACTGGCTGACCCCCCCAAAGATGACCCTCTTCACTGTCCACGGTTAGCAGACACCGCATTGGATGATTACGGGTGACCCTGACTTTCACACCGGTCCTTTCCCTCTACCCTTCAGGACGATTTCAGATGTACTACGTGCCGGTAAAACTAACTTTGTAAATAAATTGCAAAAACTGGAAGCACTGCGGTAGCTTCTCCAAGTGCAGCCTGGCCAGGAGGGCATTCCAGAGCCCCCGGCAAACCGCTTTCCAGAGACCACGACTAGAGCTGAAAACAGCCTTCCCGCCGGGAAGCCAACCCCTAGCTGGGCAGTGAACGTCTTCAGCCAGTGGTTGATGTAGCTGTACATGCCTCACGTCCCAGAAGACCGGGGAGAGGGAAGTCAGACGCCCTGGGCTTAAGGGAAGGCACCTGGTCACACCGGCTGCTAATTACACCCAACAGCCGTTTCCCTCCGTAAACACACCAAAGGGCAAGGCAGACAGGAATGACAGGCGGCCTCAGAGCCCCTGCAGCTCTTATTTCCACGAGGACATTTTACACCAGCACACGAAACTATCCCCTCAAATCAACCAGTACTAAAACTTCTCTAAAAATGTCTAAGCTTTATTTTGATTGGGGAGGGATCCCTCTATAAAAACCTTAAACGCCAACGCAAAACAGCCCTCTGCACCCAGCGCTGGCTCCGTGCACGGCCATTTCAGAATTTACATCTGGTTTAAAACCCCCCTAAGGCTCCAGACACAGCGCATGAATCTTTTTTCCTGTGCAAGGAAGGAAGCTGGATCCAGTACCAGGCCACTTCCCCAGGGAGTCACGGCTTTTTACTGGAGGAGGACCTGCGGGGACACACATCCGAGTTCACTTCGTTTTTTAAAATATTTGAGGCCAAGTGAAACACTACCTTATTTTTATTTTTTTACTTTAAGCATATCAAGAGGCCCCAAACACCATCTGAACAAAGGAAAACATTAAATCGGTTAGTTGCATAGATACTAAATAGCCTGCCAACTGTTTGAAACCTTTTTTTTTTTTAAATCGGCTGTAAATCCCGTCGCTTCCGTGTTGGGGGAGGGAGAGGCCGCTGTAATCCCCGACGCCCCAATTGTTACGAGCAGGAAACTATGTATCTTCCACGACGCTTCCCAGCACTGCCCATTTCCCGAGATGAGAAAGCCCTTCCCAGTCAGCGCGAAGGAACGCGAAACGCCCGCATTTTTCCTTTTCACAGTTACTAAGTATAAAGAACGAGGTGATCGCCCGATACTGTAACGAGATCCAGCGGGACCGGGCACCACAGGCCCCAAAGCGGGCTTAACGTTCCGAGGAGATCTTTTAAGAACTGCATTGTTTTTATTTTATTTTATTTACTTTTTATTTTTTAACTGAAGGTGAAATGAGTCGCCGGGGACGACTTCTGTTTTAAAGGAGCGGCCCGAAGACGGGGGCTTGACCCAGCCGCTCCCCCCACTTCAAACCCACCGCGTCGCGGGCCGCCCGGAAACGCAGCCCCCGCCCGCGCGCGCACCCCCGGAGCCCTTTCTCGCGATTTCTGCCCCATTTCTGCCCCCTTTCCACCCACTCCTGCCCCGGGCCTCCCACCGAGGAACCAGCGAGGGTTCCCGCAGACCAAACGCTAATCGGAATTACGCAAACGAGAGCCCCCTTACCGGACACGATCGCTACGAGACTGCTCTTTCCACGGCCTGTCCCTTACCGGCTGACCCAGCGTTTTCCACACGACCCCGATCGCTTTTCTCCCCACCCCACCGCCGAGCCCTTCCCCATCGTGAACACAGATACTCCTAAGCCCTTAATGAAACTCCATGTAAACCACACTCTCCCTTCAGTGAAGGCAGGTGTGCGGGGCGAAAAGAACACAGAGCTGGGAACGAGAACGGAGGAAAGTTCTGGGGGGGCTGGGGGGGAGGAAGACACCCCTGGAGGCTTCCCACCCCCACCCCCACCGACATCGACACCGCCTCGGTCCCCCTCCCTACGGCCGGCAGCCATGATGGCGGGCGCAGGAGGAGGCC